GGACTCTGATGCCACGCATCTAGCTCAGATGATTGCCATACGCGGCCCACCCCCGGAAAGCCTTCTACGGAGATCCCAGAAAAGAAGCGCCCAATTTTGGGACGAGAAAGGTGCGTCATCCGCCAGATATGTCCACAAATTCTTGACATCTTGTTTGCTTTCTTGTCTTTGTCGAAGCTGCTGACATTCAATACTCCAACCCAGGAACATGGAAAGGGTTGGCCCCAATTCCAAATCAAACGTTGGAAAGCCTTATGGGACAGAATTTACAGGACAGTTCCGGTTTCTTGAAGTTTCTACGAAGAACTCTTACTTGGGTCCCAGAAGAGAGGGCTTTTGCGAGAGATCTTCTTGGAGACCCTTGGCTGCGAGGAGCACGTTCCCTAGCGTAGAGCTGCCAGACTCGAACGGATAGAAGGACAGAGAGAGAATGACTCATACGCTCCAATCAACTGATATTTTATTCATTTCCCGCTAGATTGTTGCTTGCCTCCGGGGGGGGGAAACGAAGGGCAGACTTCAAGAAGCCGACTTCAGCTTATGGCTGGGTATTTTGCAAACCTGTGATCAAAACTCGAATTTAGTGTGAATGAGCCATATCTGGCAGGATACCAACCAGATATTTATCTCATCAGATTCTGAAATGACGGAGCCACAGTCGGTTCACCCATACACGAATGAAACTTGCCCGGATACGACCGCTGCATAAGCTCACGTCACGGTGTTTATCGCCCGAGGCCCCTCGGGCATCATAACGCACCTACATCAGAAACACCTCAATACATCAGCTGCACTATCCAACGACAGAGTCGGTTGCATGTGTGATGATATCCCCATACCGCCGAAGCCGCGCGGGTAGATGCGCGAAGAAACCCACGAGACCCGAGCGCTGGCACCTGGGTTTGAGGAAGCTTAGTAATTCACATCAAGCCACCTAGAACGCCTGAGAAACCGGGAGACTTGGAGCAATGAGGCTGTTACTGAAGCCACATGTAGCGTCGATCTGAGAGGAATCAAATACTGACCTGAATCGCCTTTCAATCAATCGAACGAAGAGTAACTGGGAAGAAACATACAGGCATACCAGGGTTGTTGAGTGGTGACGGCTCTACACTGTAGGCGATGCCCCCGTTGCAGAAAGTGGGGTGTTTTTGGAGGGGTACCTAAGACTGCACCGGAAGCTCCGCAGAGCTTCCGAAGCTTCACTCAACACCTCATCTAACAAACAATCTGCTTGGTAATAAAGAACACATCCTCTCGACGCGCTTGAATCAAGCAGACATACCTAACACGATTGCAGCGCATAACAGTATCATCATGTTCACGGGCATTGTTGAAGAGATCGGAGGTCTGAATCCATCCCCTCACTTGTTGACTCACATATTCTCATCCCTCGACTCCCTCAGTCAACTAACACGCACCCAGTCGTCTCCGAGCTGAACCCGAACGATGAGACGGGCGGCACCTCCCTCAAAATCTCCCTACCGGAGACCTCCAATCTCCTCGCAGACTGCAACCTCGGCGACTCCATCGCCATCAATGGCGTCTGCCTGACGGTGACTCAGTTCGAGACCTCTCCGCCCTACTTCAAGGTCGGCGTCGCCCCCGAGACCCTCCGCATCACCAACCTGGGTTCTCTGGCGCAGGACTCGCGCGTCAACCTCGAGCGAGCCGTCCGCGCCGACACCCGTATGGGCGGCCACTTCGTCCAGGGACACGTCGACACCACCGCCACCATCCTGGCCGTCACGCCGGACGGTAACGCCTTGACTTTCCGCTTTGGACCACGTGATGCGGCTGTGTTGCGCTACATTGTCTACAAGGGCTATGTTGCGCTTGATGGCACCAGCTTGACTGTCACCAAGGTGAACGACGAGGAGGGTTGGTGGGAGGTTATGCTCATTAGCTACACCCAGGAGAAGGTCGTCGTCGCTGGCAAGAAGCCGGGCGACACAGTGAACGTCGAGGTCGACATGATGGCCAAGTACGCCGAGAAGAGCTTGGCGGGCTTCCTGAGTGGATCCGGAGGTGTCCCTCTCGAAAAGATGGTGGAACGTATCGTCGCTGCGGGACTGGGTGGAAAGTCTTGAGCGCTGATGTTTTGGTTCAAAAACACGTCTTGCTTCTATTTTCTTGCTTCTGAGAGCTAGCCATACGATAGCCATGACCCAACGTGCTTGATTTGTACAATGCTTGCGCAGTAAACTCCATCTAGTACTTCTTGAATGGCTTCACGCATCGCCCCAAACTTCTGCTAGTCGTTGGCTGACGGCTTTGGGTATTTTCTTACGACCCACGAGGTTAGGCAGTCCACTTATGACCATTTCCCGCTTTCTCTTGGTCCCCTGCTCGCCCGAGCCACACTCTTCAAACGCCTTTATCAAATCATGAGGTGTCTTCCACTTCTTCTGAATCTCTAGTGCCTTCTCCCCTGTAATGCCCCTTGTCGTCATGAGCATCTTAAGATATATGTCTCGTAATGTCATCATGTCGGACTTTGACGCGAGAGATGCGAATGCCGGGTACGTGATGTAGTAACCGGTCGATGGTTCTTTCTCACGAAGATGCTGGAGTAGCGGTAGGTAGTTCTGCGCGGTCAAGACTGTGGTGGGGATCACCAACAGGGGCTTTCGCTCATACATCTTCTTGAGCATGAATGTCATCCGCGTCAGATAGCGGATGGTGTCGTCCATCTTCTGTGTTTTCTTAAGAAAGTAGCCATTAACCACCTGGGTCGACGCTATTGAGGACTGAATCATCTCCTCGACCTTTTGAAAGTAACTAGAATCCATGGAAATCTCTTCGATGATGTAGATGACGTTTTTGACGCCGGACTTTCGCAAGCGAAATTTCTGTTCGTGGAAACGGCCGTCTTTGACGCTGCCGACCAAGTCGTCGAGCCGCTTGCGCTCAACAATCCAATCAAGGACAACTTCGTCTCCTTCTGCGCCATGGCGGGACAGGGCAGCCGGATCGTGACATTTTGCAATCCACTGGGCATCGCCAATTTCCAAAGCCCGCACCAGAGGTTTGACGCCCTTCTTGGTCAATTCTTCTTGCATATAGTCGCGGTCCTTCAGTGCTCGGACTTCGCGATTGTCCAGTGCCAAGTGAACTGTAAACGAGCCTGGGAGCAACCGGATTGGGGTGAATTTGGGCAGTGACGCATTGTCTGCAACGCCTGGGCCATTCGAAACGACCCCTTCATATTGTGATGAAGGCCTAGGCTGCTCAATCGGTTCAACAGAGGCAGAAGCCTGTCTCCCAATCTGGTTGAACACCGGATCCGGCCTGACGGATTCCGTGCGGGTGCTTGGTCCAGCAGCGATGTCATCTGCTTGCTCGCCCTCTGTTGTTTTCTTAATCCGCCTGGCAACATCCCAGCCATCGTCTGTAAGGGAGTAGCGTCTTTGCGGGCGGCCTTTTTCGCATACCAGGTCCTTGTCAATCAATGTCTTCATCGAGTTCCAGGCCGTGTAGAACTTGGTAGGATCACTCGGCGCGGTAAATGACGAATCGCAGTTTTCTTGGGCAAGTTCAATCAACTTCGTCTTGGTCATGCCGAGGGAGGCATCTTCGTCCAGGGTAGCGAGGGCCAGGATGAGAGCGTAAGGGCCTGAACGATATGTTGGGACGTATGGCTTGGCCTTACGTGCTTTCTTTGGTGGAGGAGCGGGCTCATCTTCTTCAGCGGCAGCGCCAAGAGATGCGCGGTCTTCCTTAGATAACCGAGGATTCTTGGGCATGGGAAGGCCGTTGGCTTCGCAGTGCTCCTTCAATTTGTCCGTAAGGCGAGACGACAGCTTGTCCCCAAAGCCTTTGAGCTGGACCAGCTGGCGTGGATGCTTGAAAGTGATGGGGCACGCCTTCAACGACTCGTAGGCATTCCTATAAGTTGTGACGCTCTTCATGCCTCGCTCTCTGGCGGTATCCAGCCACTCCTTGACCCAGTCAAGGAGCAGGGGGTTCGCATATTGCTCATGTTCGCCAGCCATGATGCTGACGTGATGGAGGAGTGCTGAGTCGTTCTAAGCGGGCCATCACCAAGGGCTGAGTGTCATCTGCAGCGTTGCCTGCATCATCTCTCGGTGTGAGAAATGCGAGAGGTTGTCCGGATGCAAACAAGGCCGGGAAGGAGAAAGTGCAAAGGAAAAGGGCCAAAGCCAGAAGGAAGTGCCGTGACGCGTTGACGCGAAGACATGTTCGGGGCTAATAGACTGCGTTCACGAAGACACGTGACTCGTATTAGATCTCTGCACTGACTGCCGGCTGATCTGAGTCCTTAGAAGGAGGAAGGAGGGGCTTCCAAAGGAGGGGCTCTCAGGTCTGACAACCCCACTCTTTCCATTGCGGCACTGTGGTTGCGGTGTGTTGTGGTTGGTACTGGTGCCGCATCCATCTGACTTGTTTGATTCCAGGTTGAGTGATTGCATCAGGGCGGGCAGGCAGTGTCAGCTGGCTGGCGAAGCCTGCCTACGTTGGCTCCCACCAGGTAGCAGCTACCTTCATATCCGTACTTACCTACCTTAGGTAAGGTAGGTAGGCACGTAGTAGGTAGGCAGGCAAGCTACGGATGCCTGCCTACCTACCCACCTACCTTACCTGAGGTACCTACCTAGGTAGGTAATGGCGGGGAGCTTTGTTGAAGCCGGGCACCCACTGTTGAGGTGAGGTGAGGAAGCGTGGGGAGAAGGGGGGCGTGGAGTGGCAGCCCAGGTGCAGCCCAGGTCTCAAGGAGAGAAAACACTGGAATGGCGGCCTCCACCTCACTAGCAACCCGTCACCGTCGCTGCTATTGTCGTCGTCGCCGTCGCCATCGCCGTCGTCGTCCTTGATCGTCGTCCTTGATCGTCGCCCTCTCCCCCCACTGTTTTCCGTCAACGTCCCTGGTGTATTCTTCCCCTGCTTTAATTCACTCTTTACGTCCCCAATCGCTCCCCGCTGTCACGTCGCCGTCGTCAATCGTCACTTCTAAACAATCACCACCACCACCACCCGCCATGGATGAGAAGATTATTGCCGCTTCGCAGAAGCACCCCATCGTCCCAAACCATACCTTCAAGTATGGCACTGCGGGGTTCCGGATGAAGGCCGATCTTTTGGATGGAGTCACCTTCCGCGTCGGCCTCCTCTCCGGCCTCCGCAGCCGCAAGCTTAACGGTCAGACCATTGGTGTCATGATTACGGCCAGCCACAACCCTGCCGCCGACAATGGTGTCAAGATTGTTGACCCTATGGGTGATATGCTTGAGCAGGAGTGGGAGTCGTATGCTACCAAGCTTGTGAACAGCTCATCTGACCAGGAGCTTGTCGAGAACTACAAAGCCCTGGCTGCCCAGCTGCGCATCGACCTCTCTTCTCCCGCCCGCGTTGTCTATGGTCGAGACACCCGCCCCTCGGGCCACAAGCTCGTCGCTGCCCTTGCCGACTCCTTCGAGGCCACCAACACCGAATACACCGACTACAAGATCCTCACCACTCCCCAGCTCCACTACCTCACCCGCTGCGTCAACACCGAGGGCACTCCTCAGTCCTACGGCGAGGTCAGCGAGCTTGGCTACTACAAGAAGTTTGCCGATGCTTTCGTCAAGGCCTTGAAGGGCCGCAAGGTTGACGGCCAGCTGACGGTTGACTGCTCCAACGGCGTCGGTGGTCCCAAGCTGGTCGAGTTCCTCAAGCACGTTCCCAAGGATGTCACTGGTTTTGACGTCAAGGTCGTCAACGATGACGTCCTCCGTCCCGAGGTTCTCAACCTCGACGTAAGTCCATGTATACCCAAATCATCACAACGGCATAGACTGACAGTTCCAGTGCGGAGCAGACTTTGTCAAGACCAAGCAACGCGCACCCGCTTCTCCCAAGCCCGTCCCGGGTGCTCGCTACTGCTCCTTCGATGGCGATGCCGACCGCCTGATCTACTACTACACCGACCCCGATACCGGTTTCTTCATGCTGGACGGCGACCGCATTTCGACTCTGGCTGCTTCTTTCATCGGCGATCTCGTCCGATCTGCTGGTCTGGAAAATGACCTTCGTATCGGTGTTGTTCAGACGGCCTATGCAAACGGTGCCAGCACCAACTACATTGAGAAGCATCTCGGATTGCCCGTCGTGTGCACACCTACCGGCGTCAAGCACTTGCACCACGCTGCTCTCAAGTTCGACATTGGCCCTTACTTCGAGGCCAACGGCCACGGCACTGTGCTCTTTAGCCAGGATGCCATGCGCGCTTTCCGTGAGACTAAGCCTCAGTCTCCTGCTCAGAAGGACGCTCTCGACACTCTTGCCGCTGTTGGCGATCTCATTAACCAAACCGTGGGCGATGCGCTCTCTGACATGTTGATGGTCGAGGTGATCCTTGCCCATAAGGGCTGGACTCTCAAGGACTGGGCCTCCACCTACTCGGATCTCCCCAACCGCCTCGTTCGCGTCGAGGTTGCCAACAAGGACGCCTTCCAGACGACCGACGCTGAGCGCCGTCTCAGCCATCCCGCAGGTGCCCAGGACGAGATCGATCAGTGTGTCAGAAAGTACACCAGCGCTCGTTCTTTTGCTCGTGCCAGCGGTACAGAGAACGCTTGCCGCGTGTACGCAGAGGCAGCCACTCGATCCGAGGCTGACGAACTTGCCAACAAGGTCGCGGGTATTGTGAAGCAGTACGGTGGCTTGTAGGCAGGGTATCCCAAACTGCTGAACGATAAACGACGACATATCAGTTATAGCGATGAATAAGATGACAAATGGGTTTCTTCCAAGATGGGAAAAAGTTGGCGTGGTTTATTTGGACGTTAGAATCGGCAGGGCTAAGTAAAAAAAAGTACGAAATTCGTACGAGATTTTCCTGGGTGAGTCCCCAGGCGGCATTTGCAAACATCGGCGTCCTAGTCCCCGTCGTCGTCGTCATCGCTGTTGTCGCTGGTGATGTTATCCATCGTTCCTCGTCGTCGTCGTCTTTAGCCCTTGTTGACGTCCCTAATATTGTCGCTGTGCATATCATTCGACATTATTCTTTGCTTTTCTTGCCATCCAGACACTCTCCTCCATGATGCTGGAGCTGCTGCAATAAACGTGACATCCCTCGACAGTCGGTTGAAAGCGTGATCTGCAGTGGTGTTGGGGACTCCCCTGTCGCTCACATCGTTCCAAGCCGGGTCTGACAAGAGCTTCTCTGCGGCCCGTCCGAAAGAAGAGTGTGGGTGGTTTGTGTGTGGGTGTGGGTGGGTGTGTTTCCGACCCCTGAATCAGATCAGGTCGATCTCGGAGCTGAGGACGACCATGTCCAACTTTGGTAGGGCTTCCAGAAGCTCTTTAGCATTCGTCTCTTCTCCTTTCCCGCAATAATGGGCTAGCACACGCGCCGCAATTTCAGGTCACAGATTTGAACAAATCTTCTCAAATCTTCTCATGCAAAGCGGGCATTGAGAGCTCACACACTTAGCATGTAGGCAAGGTGGTATTGGCGGCGTGGTTCAAGTCGTCAATTCTTCTGTATCATACAGGTCCTCGCTGTTCACCAACTCTTCTTGACGCTTGTCCCTCGTCCTTCTCCTCCCCTACCCGTCCTTCTCTTTGAATACATGTCCCTCAATACTTTTTGTGCTTTATACAATCTTACCCACGGAAGCAAGCCAGGAGCCCACACAGAGGCCGGACTGCCAAACAGCCAACAGGGAAGAAACAAAAACTAGATAATACATTACGCAAACACTTTGGTGCTTGTCCGCCCAGTAAATATATGAGGTATAAAGAATCTGCAGTCTGGCAGATGGGTAACAAAAAATCATGTACTGTAGTTGTTCGGCCGTCAAGGGTAGGTGGTGGTCGAGGCACAGGGAAGAACCAGTTAGTTGCTCACCAGTACGCTGTGTCGCCCCTTCCCGGAAATGGATGATGTTCTCATGTGCAGAGACGTAAATCCAAGTATTAAAAAATGAATCGCATGCGCCCTTCGCTTTCCCAATGCATGGTTTGCTGGCTTTAATAGACCGGCGCCGCCACCAATGCGGTGGTCTGTACTTCAAAAAATGACAATTGTATGTGCTGACTGTTGGCGAAGGCGTCCGTAGTTGAGGGGCTGACCTGGCCCAGGTGCTCAGTCTGAAACGAGGCGCGCCGCATGCTGGTGACGGGTATACGAGGCTGTGTTATGCCGTGGCACAAACCCCTATTCGAGCAGGCGAACTCCATCGTTTAAAGTCTTCAAGCGTTGCCGCTGAGAGACTTAAAGCGGTCTTCGAAAGACTTCAGCTTCTCCTTCTCCAATTCTTGCTGGATGCGTCTGGTCTCGCGCCTCGCGGCCTCACGCTCTTCTTGTAAGGTCAGTACCTCGATTTGCGCCGTACTCATCCGGGCTATGACGTCCTGCATCTCAGAATCGGCATTCGTCAACGCTGTCTCCAGCTCCACAACCTTGACACGCAGCCTTTCAATCTGGGTCTCGTCTTCGACAGATTGCTTAGGCATGGAGCGTGGCGACCGGGGGAAGAGAGGGGAGGGCAGAGGGCTTAGGCCGGACTTGCGAGAAGTTCGTAGGCCGTTGCCGGCAGGCGAAGGGCTCATACGACGAAGCTGAGCGTTTTGCGCATCCTTCAACTCCCTGAGCTGTTCCTCATGTCGAGTGACACGTTCTTCAGACGCAGTCTGAGCAGCTTGCAATTGCTCTTCAAGGTTCTTGAGGCGGCTTTGGAGGCGTGTGATGCGGTCTGCGTTAGCCTTGCGGTCCGCATCTCCACGAGCCACTGCCTCTGCCAGACGCTGGCGGAGCTCTGAGTTCAGAGACAACTGCTTCTGGACTTGGGTAGCGAGCTCCTCTACCCGTTGAGCGGAGACGCGAAGCTCATCCGCAAGTGCGCGCTCGCTCTCGAGATGGGCTACTTCGCTGCTGGCGAGGCTTTCTAATTGATCCTTGTATGCAGAAGCTTCATCCTTTGCAGCATCGCGTTCGAAAACTGCCGAAGAAAGAGACTGCTCAAGCCTCTGAATGGCGAGCTGAGTCGACTCGTCTTGACTGATCAAGGGGCCGTTGGCTTCTAGTTCCCTGATCTTGTCGAGGGACTCTTTGTACGCAAGCTGTAGGTCCTTGAAGGCTGCCTCAAGTGACTCTGACGTAACAGGCGCAGAAAGGGCCGAGTGGTCGACGCTGGACCGAGCCATTGAAGGCGGGATGAGAATGTCCTTCTCCTTGAGCAAGCCACGCAGCACAGCAACTTCCTCTTCGGCGCGATCGAGATCCATCTTAAGGCCGGCAAGACCCTTCTCGACTTGCCACTTTTGCTCGGCCGCTTCCTCAGCGCGCCGGCGCAACACATTGACCTCTACGCGCAGATTGGAGATGTCCTTCTCGAAGCCCGCCTTTCGCGGCGAGGTGGACATGAGACGATCGCGCTCGACCTCCAGTGTTTTGATCTTTTTCTCGTTCTCTCGGTTCTGGAACTCTTGTCTCTCGAGCAAGCTCTTCAAGGCGTTATGGAGAGCGTCCCTCTGGGCCTCTACGTCTTTTAGACGCTCAGACAGCTGCTCACGGGACTCGGTGACTCCAGACTTAACAGTATTCGACCGGGTCAGACCCTTGGGGGCCTTTTGGAGCGTGAAGGGGGATGCTGCTGTGACGGAGCTCGATCTGGACAGTCGAGGGGCGGAGCGAATGGTGGAGCTCCTAGACCGTGTTTCTTCCTGGGCTGGCTGGCCGGTGGCCTTCAGTGTCTTGTTTTCTTGCTTCAGAGCTTCCAACTCCTGCTGCATCTTCGACGATTCGTAAGTCAAGTTGGCGTACTCGGACGCCTCTGCCTCGAGGCCCTCCAGCTGGGCCTTTAACTGTGGCACGATCTCGTCTCGGAGGTTGTCGCGCTCGTTGGTGGCACTTTGGAGCTCAACCTTGAGCACGGAGAGCAGGTCTTCAAAGTTAGACTTGACCTGAACCTCTTCGCCTAGTCGGCGTCGCAAGTCCTCGCAAGTATTCTCCAACTCCTTGAGGCGGTTGTTGGTATCCTCGCTGTTGATTTGAGCAACGTCGACCTGAGATGCCTTTTCGGCTAGCTCCTTGATCTGCTGATCAAGCTCGTTCCTGCGCGTGCGTTCCTCCTGCAACTTGTTGGTCAACTCCAGGCGCATAGACGCTTTTTCTTGTTCAGCGCGTCTCTGGACCTTTTCAATCTCCTCCTTGTTTTGGTCATATTCACTAAACTTGGCGGAGCTGTAACCTGAGTCGGAAAAGTAGTCACTGGTTCGCTTGCCGGGAGCTTGAGGGTTGTTGATCTCGGATTGTAGTCGGTCAACCAAATCTTCGAGATCCATCTCGCGCCGGATGGACGAGGCCAGCTCGGCGCTGATGGCCTTCAGCTCATCCTCCATCTCTTCGATTTGAATCGATGGTGCTAGGGAGGAATAAGGTGGTGTTTGCAAGTGTGATTCGCAATAGCCAAGGGCGTTTGTGGGTGTAGCATTCCTCTTTGAGGGTTCTGGCAGAAGTGAGGGCACTCCGGTTGTGAGAGGAGTGTCATCTGTCAGAGTGGCACGTCGTGGTGATGCGAAGGGTGATGAAAGAGACGAGAACTCGGTTGTCGATGGTGACGGCGATCCTCCCCAACCAAAGAAGTTGGCAAGCTTGGAGGAGCCGGGTGACTTAGGCAACGGCTTGTTGATCGATGGTGTCGGAGTCGCTGAGGTTGATGGAGTTATAGACAGAGGCGCGTCGAGCACTGTTGTGACTGTCTGTGATGAATCTTGTCGATTCAGCGAAAGATTCAGATGAGGAGGGGTAGGTTTGGTAGCGGGTAAGGACATGATAGAGTTCTCATTAGTGTTGTGACTGTAGGTTGACTCGGAATCTTCGTCCGTGTCCTCCTCCTCCTCTTCGATGATCGGGTGAGGTATCGCTTTCGGCAACCTCGGGGAGAAGGTTGGGGTGACGTCGGCGGTCAGGTAGGCAGCTTCTGACAGGCCGTCTGAAGGTTTTGTTTGAGGAGCTGCAAGGTTGGTGCTTGGGATGTTTCGCGAGGCAAAGTGAGCCGCGTCGTCTGAGATGTCGGCAGGTGGGGGACTGTTTGCGGAAAGACAGTGTCTGGTTAGCCAGAGCTGAGGGAGGTTGTCTTCAGGCAGGCAATGACCCGGCAATGACAGAGCGATGTTGGACGAAGGTCGGCAAAGAGAAGAAGAGGCAGGAAAGACTCACGGCTTGTCAAGCTTCTGATGAGCGGCGGGAGGCGCAAACAGAGGTCGTACGTCCTCTGAGGGATACTCGTACAAAGTAGGGCTGTCGACGGAATAAGACCGCGAGAAACGTGTCTCGGGCATGGGCAAGTCACCGGGTGACAGAATAGCTGGGCTACTGGAACCGGAGCCGTAGCTAGCAGCTATCTGGGAGGCGGTAGAAGAAAGAGGCTTGCGCTTGAAGGCCTTGGCGGTATTGAAGGTGGGCGTTATGACAGCGACGGGAAGGGTCTGCGATCTGGTGCGGCCGGGTGAGGGCGAAGGGGAGGTTGCAGTGTGGTGGGAATCGCGGTAGGGTGGTCGGCCCCGTGGTACATCAGATGAAGCGTTGAGAGTATCAGAATTGGAAGGGAGTCCCACGGCAAGGTTTTGGCGTTCGAGTGAAAGGTCGAGACGGGCGGGACGGGGATGGGGATCGCGTTGAGCCATGGCTTTTGTCGACATCTGAGCGGATGTGGCTTTCTCTATGAATGGTTGTTATCTCGCAGGGAGAAGGAGAGAGATTGGAACCATGGGCTGAACCTGAACCTGAACCAGAGCCGACGAGAGATGATCATGTCCAAGTCCACGCTCCATTGGAAAAGGACGGCACAATAAGAGGAAATGGGACTTGTATTGGGGGGGCAATTGAGAGGCAGAGGATCAAAGAGGGCATAGGGTGGGATTGGAAACGGCGACTGGTCGAAAAGGGGCCATGTTCGCGCGCAAGGACCCTTGGAGATGGAGGAGTGGAGAGGTCGTCGTAGCGCCCAGGTGGCCTCGCCCTCCACTACCTTACCTACCCACGGTGCCGCCCCCCGGTGCCTGGCTCTTTTTTGGCGCCATTTCCCGTTTTGGCGCTTTGGTGTGGGTGTCCCAGCAATTGGATGGAACGGTGCCTGGAACCATTTCCTAACTGCTGCGTCCATAATCCATATTTGTACCTACGGCGTGCGCGGTACCGTAGCAATGGGCGATGCGCCTGTATTCGTACACAGGCTGCACGCAGGTGCGTTTTTGTGCGAGTACCTGACATGCATGATACGACGGATGCCGGGGCCGAAACAGCTCGGAGGTGTGATTTGTCGCCAATGTCGATTGATGAGAATGAGAGGGTGATCTGAGAGCATCTGTAGGAGGAATTAAGGAAAAGATCCGGCGGGAGGCAGCCGCCGGATAGTAGCCGACGGAAAGAATGCTACTGGATGTGCAAAGGCATTGTGTCAATGTCAACAACGAACGGATATGTTCTCCATGGTTTGCAGCAGAGAACTCTTTTTTTCCCTCCCGTCCCCCAGGCCCAGAGACATGGCCTGGCCGCCATCCAAACGAGAGATGGAAGACGGGAGCTTGGTGCAGCAAGGAGCCCGGCGGTACCTTGCAGAGGGCTTGCTAGGTTCCCTGCTGGCGGCAGGGGTGAGACAACCGTTTTTCGACGAATTCGAGCTGGTGCAATTTTAGTGTGTGGGGCTGCCCCCATCCAATCAGCCGACGTCCTTACTACTGCATAGTACGTATTACTTAGTAGGACTTCCACTTCCACCTTCCATCTCTGTTCACCTCAGGCTTCACCAGGAACTGTGAAGGTTCGCCCACCATGCATTATCCCGTCTGCAGTCCAGAGCGCGCGCCTCCATATCGCCCTGCCGTGTTTCCCGCCAGTTCCTTAGGTCCTGCTGATAGATAGCCTCTTGCTTTGCTTTGCATTGCCGCCGTCTGTCCAACTTTGATTTGGTCTCCTCACCCTCCCTCAGGCACAGATGACACCTGCGAGGTCCGTCCCTGCCTGACCTCCATGTGCCCGTCCACAACCTCACGGCAGCAACCTCAGAATACCTCAGCTTCCCTACCTATACCATCGGAGCTTCCATGCATCCATCGTACCTGTATTCTACGGCGTCTACCGTCCAGTCTCCCAGAAGTCGTGGCTTTCATTCTGCAGGCATGCATGCATGCATGACTTTGGTCTCTGACCAAGATATGATGAAGCCATCTCACCAACGTTATGCTTCCGTCTCTGCTGATGGCTTCATGCTCCACCACTGCTGACCACCACGACCGACGCCCGGCTCTGGGGAAAGCTGTCATCTGCCAGAAGCCACATGCCATCCCGCCGCCGTGTCCGTCTTTTCTTTCGTCGACTCGTCTCGCGTTTCGTTCCGTGACCCGACACAGAGACAAGAAAGCCAAAATAGCGACTACGATATTGACCAGGAAACTTAGCCTTTCCCAGCTAAAACACCGGCAGCCAGCCCGAACTCGTTGCCACCTCACCTCGCCGAAGCCGCACCGAACAAACAAAAAACTACCTTAGTTGGCCTTGGCTTTTTTTCTGCCAATGTTTCGTGCGTGTTGTCGAAACATTGACACCATCATACGCCATGACAGCTGCAACTCTCTCTCTCTCTCCCTCTACAGCCCACGCAGCCGCGGCCTCACGCGGTAGTTCCCTACCTCGAAGGTTCAATCCCTTCCTGGCGTTCCCCGTAACCTCCACCACCAACAGGGAACACACACAGACAACATCATGCTACCCACCAATTTCATGCCCAGTCGTCTGGGCATCGAATTCTGCTCCCCATCGAAAGCCAACGTCGGCAACCCCTTGCGTGAACTCCATTTCAGCTCAACCCAACTCAACCGAACCCAGCGACTAGCTCTCGGTTCTCGATGCACTGACGCCGATTCCGATTCGGTCGAACGCATACCATACAACACTCACTGTGCTACGAAGTTTGCTTTCCCGAACACTGATAGAATTTGTCTCCAGACTCTGGCCAAACAGTCACGTTGCAACGTCAACGCATATGTTGCCCAAAGGACTTGAAAACCCCAAGCCTCTCTCATGAGCATGCCTAATATGGAATAGGGGCCTCAGCTCCAACATCACATAGCGTTCAAACATTCTGCCGAAACCAACCCTCTGGGCGATACGCCTGCGCCCGCGACCTGACTGAGCAGCCGCTCGACTGTTGACAGTCACGCAGCACTCTTCGCCGATCTCCCTCCAGCCAGGCGACTAAAGTTGTTTCCATTGTTTAGCGTCGACGGCAAAAGCAATGGAACTCTGAGCCTGGTGCCAAAATGAACGACAATTGGCTGGCCTATCGACCCCAAGATCTCGTCAATTCCACTCGATCATCCCCCACAGCCTGTGGATGCATCGTGAATTCGTGATTGGACTTTGCACCGATGCGCTCCCCTGAAGCGGCTGTGCTCGCAATCTCTTCATTGGCCCTCGGTCAGGAACCATCACGTCCAAAAGTAGAATAGCGTCAGGGACAGACACCCTGATATGTGCCCACCCCTGACCGGAGCAATGTCGACTCGTGCGCCTCGGAAGATCACTTGCTTTTTCGATCAACCGGGGGCGCATCATAATTGCTGGTGCGTCTGGGCCAGACGCAGACCCAATCGTTACCGATGTTCCCATCAATTGCGGCGGCAATGTTGTGCAAGTGATCATTTTGAAAAAGAAAAGTCTACGGAGCCGACGTCACTCAACACTTGAGAACTAATAACATTCTCCATCCGTGAACGAACCGCTTAAGCCTCTCATGCGTGCGGTGCCAGACGACAAAACATCCGAAAAGAACGCGTATTCGTAGTCGGCAGTAAGGCGGCTGCATCTCAGTTGGGTGGTGCTACATACGATGCAGACAATGTGCATCTGGTTCCAATTCGGACGGTCTTGCTTCGAACAGCAAGGGATTGTAATTACCATCTCCGCGATGGGTGGACATTAGACAAGAACGGCTGCTTTTGGTTGAGGATCATCGGACATCTTCATCCGGGGTGGCTATTGGCAGGCAATGATCAGCGTGGCGATGCTAAATCCCTGCTCTTGTCATCTGGCGTGGCTTTGGCGGGGGTGGTTATTCAACGCCGCAATTTCATCTCCCACAATGTCGGTCGATGAATGACCTCCGCAAATGAACACTGGCTCCTATCATGTTAGCGATTATTTGGGGACGCCACTCTGCCTTCTAGGCGCCCGTGTCATTTAACCCTATGTACGGATACGTATGTACCACGAACAAACTGTGGGCAGACGGCACTCCGCCGCAACCCGAGCGGCTCATCGGGAATTGATGGGTTCCAGACATAAATCCGTCAATGTTCCGCTTTCATGCGGCGGCTCCCACCCGTATTCGGCTGTCCGAAGCCATCGCACCCGGACCATATTTTCCACTACCCTCTCCCCGGGCCCCTTTCCGGCGCGTGACACCGGACGTGGCGCCGCTACCGCCGGCGCCGAAAAGTTGTGGAGCTGTTTCTACTTTCGGCTCTCCTCGTGCGTTTTCTGAAGAGGTTTTTTGTCGTAACAATCGTGACCACAACTCTCCCAGCGCGTCTCGTCGAGCGCGAGAAATGCCATGCAGATGAACTTGTGTCAGGCATCCCACAGCAGCTTCTTTCCTCATGCGGGGCTTATGATGTGACACTCTAATCCATCATCCGTTGCCCACCGCCGTCAGTGTATCTAGGTGAGCTACATCGAGTATGATAAATCGTCTTGGCTAAAGGAACCCCTCTTGACTCGAAAGTCTTCTAAGAAGAGCTTTCTTGCAGCGCCTCCGCTGGGATGACGCACCGCTGCGCTTCACTCGCCAGCTGTGGAAGTAATACTTTTGCTCACCGGGGGAGCTGGGGTGGTAGATGCCATGTCCCTCTTAACAAGTTTACTCCCAAGATTTCACAGCTACTACGGACTCAATTTCTGGTTTGAACAGTTTGAAATTTGTACAGACTAAGAAATCATTGGCCTACATAAAAAATAAACAAGTCCCAGAGGTATGATTGCCCAACCATAAAACAAAAGGGCGTAACGCGGCCACTGACTTTAGTTATACCGACCGACACCCCATAGCATGCAAAATAAGTACGCCTACACCACCCAATTCACATAACTACCCATTCATTGCACCTTCATACTGCCCCTTTATGACCTGGCAGCGGCAGCGGCCTTGGCCATGGTGTTCAGAGCGGAACCGTTCTTGAACCACTCAATCTGGGGGGCGTTGAAGGTGTGGGAGAGCTTGATCTCAAAGTCGGCGCTGCCGTCGGCAGGGTGGACGACCATGGTCAGAGGCTTGCCAACCTCCAGCTCGGTGGCAAGGATGTCGACCTTGTCCTCGGGCTTGATCTTGTCGTAGTCGGCGGGGTCGGAGAAGGTGAGAGGAAGCATGCCCTGCTTCTTCAGGTTGGTCTCGTGGATACGAGCAAAGGAACGGGTGATGATGGCAAGACCACCCAGGTGACGGGGCTCAAGAGCGGCGTGCTCACGGGAAGAACCCTCGCCGTAGTTCCAGTCACCAATGACAACCCACTTGATGCCCTTGGCCTTGTAGTCACGAGCGACAGCGGGGACAGCATCCCACTCGCCAGTGGTGTAGTTGTGGACCTTGTTGGCCTCACCGTTGGCCTCGTTGATGGCACCGATGAGCATG